ACCCCCACCCATTCCTTCTCTCTCAGGTGCCCGTCGTATTCGGGATCTGTTTGGTGCTGCCAAGAAGCACTCCCCGTGTATCGTGTTTATAGACGAGATCGATGCCGTGGGCTCCAAGCGGTCCAACCGGGACAACACCGCCGTCAGGATGACGCTCAACCAGCTGCTCGTGGAGCTTGACGGGTGGGCCAGAGGGTGGTGTGTTGGACAGCTGCAGCCCTCACACTCAGACAAGGGCGTGTGTGTGTGTGTGAGTCAGTTTTGAGCAGAACCAGGGAGTGGTTGTGATCTGTGCCACCAACTTCCCAGAGTCGCTTGACTCGGCGCTCACCCGGCCGGGACGCCTCGACAAGAACGTCGTCGTGCCTCTCCCCGACCTCGCAGGCAGAAACGAGGTGACTTGATTGGCTGGATGGATGGATGGACAAGCAGAACACACACACATCAATCCTTCGCTGCGTGTCTGTCGGTGTGTCCGTGTGTCCATGTGGGGGCCTCTTTCAGATCTTGCAGATGTACGGGTCTCGCGTGATACTGGGCAAGGACGTGGACATGGACGTGATGGCGCGGCGGACGGCGGGCATGACGGGTGCGGACCTGTTCAACATCATCAACATCGCCGCCGTCAAGTCGTCGGCAGAGGGGCGGCCAGACATACCAATGGAGTACCTCGAGCAGGCATTTGACCGCGTCATTGTTGGTCAGCACCCACATGATAGAAAAGCCAGCCAGCAGAATGTGTATGTGGCCATCTATCTCATATATATGTGTCTGCTCTGCGTGTGTGCAGGTTTGGAGCGCCGCAATCCGATGAGTGAGGAGGAGAAGCGGATGACGGCCTACCACGAGGGCGGCCACACGCTCGTCTCCCTCTACACCAAGGGCGCCGACCCTGTCCACAAGGCAACCATCATGCCGCGCGGAAACGCTCTCGGAATCGTAAGCCTCACACACACACGCGCGCACACACACGCACACACAGAGCATGCCCACCAGAAGCGTGTTTGCATTCTCCTCCCCCTCCTGGACACAGACATGGCAGATCCCGCCCGCGGAGCGTTATTCGGAGCGTCTGTTCGAGTTGCAGGCTCGGCTGGACCTGCTGATGGGGGGCAAGGCTGCCGAGGAGCTCATCTATGGTGCCGACAACGTGACGGCGGGGTGCATGTCGGACCTGCAGCAGGCCACACAGATAGCCCGCAAGATGGTCATGCAGTGCGGCATGGGCGTCGACGACTCGCCGGTGCCCATGTTTATCGACGGCCAGGTGGGTGGTGTGAGTGGGTTGTGGGATTGATTCAGTGCAGTGCAGTGGATGGGATGAGTGGGTTTGTGTGTCCCTTGTCTTGTGTGTGGTGTGTGCGGTGCCATGCACGTGTCTGTCAGTCGTACGGCGCGCTCTCTGATGAGCAGCGGCGCAAAGTGGACGCGGCCGTGCAGAAGCTGCTCAACGTATGTATATGAGTTCCACTCGACGTGTGTCCGTGATGTGATGTCTTCTTCGGTCGACCTGTCTGTCTGTCTGTCTGTCCGTGTGTCGTGTGTGCAGGATGCCTACGCCCGCGCATCGACCATTCTCAAGAACAAGAAGATGCAGCTCCATCGAATCGCCGAGGTAACCAAACAAACCACACAAACCAAACAAGGCATTTTCATCCCATGTGCCACGTGTGTGTCCTCTGCTTGCGTGGGTGTCGCGTGGATGCCACGCAGAATTTGGTCAACTACGAGACGTTGTCCAACGAGGAGATCGACTTGGCCATCAACGGCAAAGGCCACGAGATCTCCCGGCTGCGTGAGCAGCAGAAGAAGGAGAGGGAGAAGAAGCAGCAGCAGCTCGCCACCGCCGCAGCAAACATCACCAGCGCCATCACACAGGCGCTATCCCCCGCCTCAGGCACACCAGACCAAGGCGGCAAGCCGCCCCCGTCATCAGCACCAGGAGGCGGCAGCGATCGGCAGCAACCGTCTGAGATACTGCCTGAGTCCTCGGATGGCGGCTCGGGGAATGCAGACGCACTTGACGAGTCGGCGCCCCACCTGCACCCCTCCCCCTCCACGCCCACACCGTCAGTCGCCGCCCACCTGAATGAGTCGACATGAGCAAGACACGGCAAGAAGAAGCTGCTAAAGCGTCTGTATAGCTGGCCAGGGGTTCATGCTGTCTTGCTGTGTCTCTCTGTTCACCTCACTTGTGCGTGAGAGTGTGGCTCTCCAAGATATATATAGGTCTGAATCTGTGTGTCTGTGTGTGGACCTGCTTCTCACGTGCACATGCACGTGTGTGAGATCTCTCTCTCTCTCTCTCTCTCTCTGTGTGTGTGTGTGTGTGTGTGTGTGTGCATGGACTATGGGATTTTTGCGCCCTCTGCGTCTCCGTCCGTCGATCAATGAGACAGTGAGTGAGGCGCCCTGCGTGTCACTGAGCACGATGCGTGTCACTGACCATGTCATGTGGATGTGCCAATCCATCAAATGTAGAGAACAACCTCAAGAATGTCGCGCGGATCCCTTGCCGGCGAGCTCAGCTCCAAGCCCCCCAAAAGCGCGCAAACACAACAAATCACGATGACTGACCGCCATTCTCCCGTTGAGCCCGACGCCGATGAGGAGGATACGGAGATGCAGGCAGCCACCGCAGGCGGCATCCCGCTGGGCGGCGTTATATACTCGTTCAAGAAGGCCAAGCGGAACAGCCTGTTCTACTCGGGGCTGCTCTACACGACCTTCCTCGCCATATTCGTGACCATCACCATGCTCATACGGCCGGTCGACCAGACCTTCCAAATACAAAACGCAATCATAGGTCGGTCAGGCGGCCAGACAGACAGACAGACAGGCAGAAAGGGGAGAGAGAGCGAAAGAGGGGCGAAGGGTGTTTGTGTGTGTGTTGGATGAACGCAGAGGGCATTGCAAAGGACGACATGGACAGCCCGCGATTTGAGAAGACGGTAGGTGTATACTCATCCAGAAACAGAGAGAGAAAGGAAATCTTGGGTTCCGATTGATTGATTGTGTGCGGTGCAGTTTTTCGACATGGCCAATTATGGGGACTTCTGGGTCTGGATGTTCGAGGTCTTCTACGGTGAATGAGACAAACACAGAGAGACGCGCACACACACACAGTCGGCTGCACACACACCCCGCACACGAAGCAGAGAGAGACAGAGAGAGGGGAGAAGATCAATGTGCAACTTGTGGCGCAGGGAATGTGTTCGAGGGTGAGTGGTACAATGGGGAGCCGCGCAACAGGTCACACGAATACGAAGATGTGCCCGTCATGAGGTAGGCAGGCGAGTCCACAAGTGCATTCACCCATCCAAATGGGTGCACGAATCACTGGCCCGCGCGCCCCCCTTCTTCGTATCTGAATGGACCTTTCAATGCAATCCAGGTACAATCGCCTGCAGACTGCGATCAGGCTCCGTCAGTCACGGGTGGAACGCGGTAAGCCCAAAAACAGACAGACAGACACCCCATGCATGTATTTGTATAAGTGTGGATGTAATGTCCCCCCATTGTGGCTGCCTGCCTGCCTGCCTGCCTGTTTGACTCCAGACAGCTGCAAGACTGAGGAAGATAACCATGAGCTGTCTCGACCATGCTGGGGAGACTACGGCACGGCCACAGCTGTCGTAAGACACTCACTCATATGTCTCTGATGTCTGTCGTATGTCTCCGACACACGTGTGTGTGTGTGTGTGTGTGTCCTCTGTGTGTGTCCTCAGACAGGCAACAAGCACGCGGACCGCCCCACCACTGATCTCACTCGTTGGAGCACCGACCTCAATTACTTCGAGGGACGGCACGACGACGGCAAGCAGTACAAGAAGTCGGGCTACTACGTTGACCTGCCGATCAACGCCACGCGGACGCTGGAGATACTGCAGACCTTGGTCGCCGAGCGATGGGTCGACGAGAATACTCGCGGCATCGCAATCGAAATGAACAGTAAGACAGACAAGGAGAGGGGGAGAGAGGCAGGAATGCAGTGCAGTCGTGCTTTGTGCCCTTTTGTTCTCTCCTTGGTCCTCAGCGTACAATCCCGCCTATGACATGAGCACCGTCACCCGCTTCAAGGTCGACATCAGACCGGGGGGGCTCTTCATACCGTCCATTGAGGTACCTTACCTTGACATGCACAGGAAGGAAGACACGGCTAGGCGAGACACACACTTGCAATGCAATCAGTCACTCTTTGCTCCTCTATCTATGCAATGCATGACAGATCTTCAGCGCCCGTCTGTACCCGTACACGTCGTCGATTGACGGCTTCCGGGCCTTCCTTGAGCTCGTCTTCTTCTTCGCCCTCCTGTACTACTTCTGGCGTGAGGGCATGGAGATGAGGACGGAGGGATGGCGGTACGCACAGTCGTTCTGGAACTGGGTCGAACTCGCCAACCTTACTTTCTTTGTCGTCATCATGGCTTACTGGTGAGCGAATGATGACGTGGTGGCGGGAATGAGCGGAGAGTGACGAAGGGGTTGTGGTTGTTGGGCTGTTCGTTTGTTTGTCAGGCTGCGGTACATCGGCACTTTTGGCCCTGACCGTGTGTCGTTCAAGGAACAGTCGGTGGACAAGTTCCAGGACCTGTACACGCTCACACAAGTCTTCTCTTTCACTGGTGGGTGGGATTGGGTGGGCTGCGGGCGGTGGGGACACAAACAAAGACAACGAGCAAACACCGCGCTCTCCGTATGCGTGTGTGTGCGGTACAGCCAACATGGCTGCGGTGAATGTGGTGTTTTCGTTTGTCAAGTTCTTCAAGTTCCTGCAGCTCAACCAGCGCATGTTGCTCATCTGGGACGTACTCACGCACGCAATGGGAAACATCATACCTTTCATGGCAAGCCAACCCCCCTTCCCCGCCCTCCTCATGGGTCTGCGTGACCTGACCTGAGTCTCTCTTTCTCTCTCTCTCTCTTCCTCTCCCTCTCCCGTGCACGCAGGCCATTTTTGTGCTCATCACATTCGCCTTCACCTTTGCCGGCCACTGGCTGTATGGCTCCCGGGTGTTTGAGTTCCGCACCTGGAACGTGGCCTTCGGGTACCTGCTGAGGACGCTGACGGAGGGCATCGAGTACGAGACGCTCAAGAACGCCTCGCCCGGCGCCACGCCATTGTATGTGACGGCGTGGATCGGCATCGTCACGCTTGTGCTGCTCAACATGTTCATTGCCATACTCACTGACTCGTACGCCTTCGTGCAGGTGAGAGAGAGAGAGACACACACACACACACGCACAGAGAGAGAGAGAGGCAGCCATCGTGTGTGTGCGTGTGTGTAATCAGAGCCGGACCAAGAGAATGGACGAGTTGGAGCGGGACCATGTGGAGGACAAGGAGAACGACTGGCTGCTCTTCCTCAGGTCGAAGCTCTGCTGCTGCTTCACGCCAAGAAACCACGAGACCGAAAAGAAAATCGTAAGAATACATCAATCAATCAGTGTGTAATCGTATCGATGTCTCCACCCAACTGTCGACTGTCGATGTGTGTCTGTCCCTGCATCCTCTCTGCAGCTGCAGTTGAACAAGAAGGCTCGTGAGATGAAGGAGGTGCTCGAGATGGTCGACCAAGAGAGACTATGGCACACCGTCCTCCAGGTCAGTCAGTGAATAAGTGCGATGCAACCGAACACGGGGGCAATTGATCGATTTGCCTGTCTGTCTGTCTGTCTGCCTGTGTGTCTTTCTGTGTGTGTGTCTGTCTGGCTGTCTTCCTCCCTCGGCAGACAGTGACAACAGAGAAGGACGAGCTGTCCGTCGAGGACGTGAGGCCCGTCTGCCGTGCCGGACATGAAGGAGTGCCAGAAATGTTCCTCGCCGGGCTCGTAGACGCGCAGGTCAGTGTGGGACAAGGAGGGGCACACTCACAAAGACACTCTATTTGCCTCCTGTCCATCTACCTGTCTCCCCTTTGTCCATGTGTGCAGCAACTGACATTGGACAAGCCGCCCCGTCCGGCCACCACTATGATGGAGATCGGGTCGCTACAGACGCAGATATCGGCTCTCGAAGGTGACTTGCAGGCGCTGCTGGACATCAACGTCATCCAGTACGAGACCAAACCCTCACGGCCCTCCAGTAGAGCAGCACAATATTCCGTAGGGGGGGCCGGGGGTGGGGGGCCGCCACTGTAGCTACCAATTGCACCTTCATGCGTGTCTGCGGATAGATAAGCCATTGATGCGTGTACTGCTCTGTCCATGTGTCTATGACGAATGAATGGACCACAAAGTCGTTTGAATCCTGTATATGTGTTTCATCCGTCACCTCCTATATGTGCTCCATTTCCAGTGCGTGCCTATCTGTCCTCACACACATTGGGCAGGCCGTCACGAGAAGGCGAACCAGCCCGATTCCTGAGGATTCTCTGCGTCGTGCTGCTGCAGCGGCTGGTAGGTGGCCAACACGGGCCCGCCAGACGAGGCCGTGCTCTGTCGAGGGCCCCCGTCCATGTCAAGGGATCGAGACACAGTCTGTTGCGACGGAGGAAGAAGATGTATGTCGATGCTCTTGTCCTCTGTACACACATATACATGCAGAAGCCTTTACGCGGACGTGTGCGCATCTGTCAGTCAGTCTGTCTCCTGTCTCACCGAAACTGAGCTCGACGCTCGCTGCGTGTCCTTCGTGTCCCTTTGTGTTGTTGAGCTCAAAGTGGCGACGTCTGAGGACAGGGGTCTTTTGCAGAATGCTGTACACCTCTCGCTTCAGCGGAATGCGGCACTAGAGACGACGACAGGCACAAGAGACAGCCGGTGGGCCGCGAGATTCCCTTTTTCTGTCTCTCTGTTGGTAAATGTGTGTTACCCACCTCTGCGATAGTTTCGTGGCGCGCGAAGCCTTGGTTCATGACCTTCAGATAGAGGTAGCGGTCGGCCGGCCGCACGGTCACGACAATGTCCTCCTCCCACTCTGTATTACCTGATCGATCGACAGCAACCAACGGATGAATGAATCTGAATGAATCAATGAGGAGTCGCGAAGCCTCAATTGACGCCATTTATCTATTAAAGGTAGGCTTACATCCCATCTGAACGCTGGTCGTCTGGTCTGGCTTGTTGCCACACGCAATCTGATGACCCATCCCATCTATGTGTAGATCCGTGCACTGCACCTATGTGTCGGGTGTCTCTGTCGGTGTCTCCCTGTAGGTCCCTACCGAGACGTAGGCCTTGTTGCTCGAGAGGAAATCCAAGCTGACAAAACACAAAGGAGGCGCGGCACGACGAATGAGACGGGAGACACACAGAGGCCGGGCTGCATCACATCGTTGCTGTCCGCACCGACCTCGGCAGATTCTTGACGCAATGAACACGAACCTGTCAAAGAGGGAGGGAGAGACACAGTGAGTGTATATATGTGTATGTGTATATGCATTGCACCTACCTTCAGGTTGCTGTGTGGGTAGACGTTGTGAGTTTCTTCGATGCACCAGCCGCACAGACGGGGCAAATATGGACCCAACAAAGGAATGTCACTCCACGAGGTGCACCACACCCTATCGTACATAGCAGTGATAGCACGAGTCACTTACCCCACCAATGCATCTCTCCCTCGTTTGCTCGGTCGCCTACCTGTCTGCGACGCATGGCAGCCAGGATGTGCGATACCACCATGCCAGCGCCAACAAGATGGCCAAACATACCGGCAACAGGAGGATACTGTGGTTGCTCCATCGCCCCAGCATGTGCGCATGCTGGGGCCTTTCTGCCTCCTGAAATTCTCTGGCTTCCGCTGTTTCTGCGCCATGGTTGTTGCCGGTGGTGGAAAGGCTGTCCGCAGCTGTAGTGGGTCGGTTGGTCTCGACTGGACTGTTTTTGAAAGCCTGCAGCGAGGGGGTGCATGAGACACTGCTGGCAAGCAGAAACAGCGCCGCTGTAATGGCCAGAAGGCGGTGGGAGAGCTGCATCCGTCTCACTTGAGCCTGGGGGCATGCCCCCACTGCATGCCTCAGGCTCGCGCGAGGCAGTGGCAGACTGCCGCCCCAGTCGCAGTGACCGACAATTATGGATTCTGCTCCAGCAGAGGCAGCACATGCTTCCGGTCCCCTCGGATGGCTTGGACGACAGGCGTTCCTCCAGCAGGACCACCACACGGATGACGATGACGGCGCGGACACAAAGGAAACCACCTCGCCGGACACCCAGTCTGGTCATCCTCTCATTGCTGCGGCAGTGACGGCAGCAGAACCGCCGGACCACGAAGACAAGAGGCATGATCCTGCTGCTGCTGCAGTAGCTGTTGCGGATCCCTCAGAGTCTCCCCATCTCCCCATCTCGCCACAGCACGCAGATGACCGTGTCCTTCTGCTGTTCGTGTCGCCCTCTCAAGATGTAAGCCGGTCGCCAAATGGGCAGGGCCTTTCGCCTGTTGGGGAGAGGGAGGGGCGCTCACCGAGTGATGCCCTGACCGTGTATGATGGCAGCCGGCAACCGACTGAGAAGGCGGGACAGGAGGCAGTGTCAAGAGAAGAGGGGCCGTCTCCTTTGACGCTGCTGGCAGCAATCGTGTGAGATATACACGATAAACAGACGATAAACAGAAAGGTGGGTGATTGTTTGTGTGTGTCTCGTGGATGCAGTGCCCTTTGTCGACGCTACTGGGCGTTGTTCACCGCCAAAGTGAGCCCCGTGCACGGCGCAACTGCAGATGATGTAGACACGGATAATGTGACAACCCTCGAGCGATTCCTGGAAGACTTGCATGGCCTCATCGAGCCGACACGCGATGGGGGCCAGCCAAAGGGGATGCTGCTGTCGCGCGACGTGCGTGAGGAGCCTCCTATCGGTGACCTGATCGCCGGCATTGAGGCATTAGGTGGGCAGACAGAGCCTGACACGCCACGTGCATGTCTCCCTGTCTGCATGTGTGTCTTTCAGCTCGGCTCAGCGGCCGGTCTGCTGAACCATCGACCATCTCCCAGGTTATTTTGCTTCTCTACGACCTGGCTTTCTCCCTCCCACCTTCCCAAGTTCCGACCCTCTTGGACATCATCAAACACCTCCACTCAATCCTCGCCGACGCAAAGCAGACTGGCAGACCGCAGCAGCAGCAGCAGCAGCAGCAGCAACGGAGGCCCCCGCGGCCACAGACAAGGATACAGCCGTTCTTTCCCTCTCCTGTTCCCGCATCGAGGCAACAGCCGCCGACGTTCAGACAGAAATGGCCAGACGGCATTGGTAATGGGGACATTTGGCAGGCTGTGGCGTCTGCGCGTGAAGGGCTGATGTACCACATGCGGCTCTGCGATGAGCTGACACAGGCAAGGAGCAGGGCAAAACAGAATGATGTGGAAGTCACTGCTGTTCTGATTGTGTCCTGTCGACATGCAGGAGAATCGTGAGCTGAAGGCGAAACTACGACAGCTGACGCGCTGCAGGGACCCTTTCCATTATGACACGCCCATCCACGGCATGCTTGAAGAGTTCCTGAGAGAAGAAGGTCACTCTCTTCTGGCCCCACCACCACAGGCACCACAAGCAGCAGCAGCAGCAGCAGCACAGGCTGCACGCCCAGACTTCCTATACGACGTGTCTCCGTTCGACACGAGGCACCACCAAGACAGAGCAGCCAAACCGGCACCACCCTCATCATCTCGCCCCGTCTCCTCCCAGCCCCCATATGAGTCCCTCCCCTCCCTGCCCTCACTCGACACAAATCACGAAAAGATGGACAAGAGGACAGGTGTGTTGGCGATGACGTCACAAACCATCATGGATAAAGGGAGAAGGCCAGGGGGGCGGAACGTGGTGAGAGGCCAGCATGCGAGCAATGGTGGTCGGGGAGGGAGGGCGAGGAGGACACTCAGCCAGTGAGTGAGTGCTGCGGGGAGGGAGGATGCGTATCGACTGTGGTGCCTTAACTTGTCCATGGAGATGTATGTGAGAGATTCTCAAGTGAGTGCTTGCATGGATACGCACGCTGACTTCCGCTTAATACTGAGAGAGATGCAAAGAAGAATCGTCCACTCACTCAAGTCAGGCACAAACAGTCGACACGCATGGTCACACGCATTCAGTATCAAAACTCACATACACACACACGAGACAGACAGACAGACAGACACACATACACACAAACAAACGAACAAACGCTTCACCCCCACTGCCCCCCGACCTCCCGACTCTGCCGCCGCCGTGCCGGCCATGATCACACCACAGCCACAGGAGCCGTCTGTCCGCCCTCCTCAGCGTCCACCAGCTCCTCCTCATCCGAGTCCTGATCATCAAGCTGCGTCAGGAGCACCATGGCATTCGGACACAGGCCCATCTCCTCGAGCGTCTGCGTGCCCGCCGCCTCCAGCTGACGGCTCGGGAAGGAGCTGCCCAGGATGAACCTCACTGGCACGTCCACCGCACCCCCCTTCCTCTCGGCCGTGAGGGCGGGCAGGGCGCCCGCCCACTCGTAGAGGGTCGTTACGGTGGCACTGCGCAAAAAGTCCCGCTCCACCCGCACGCCGCTCGGCAGCCGGAGGGCGATCTTGGTCAAAGTGGCCTTGGGCGGCGGGTTTGCGGCGAAGCTGGCGTCCTCCTTCCTGAAGGCGTCGGCCTTGGCCTCCCTCTCGCGCTTGATGGCCTGGCGCTCCTCCTCGCGCACACGGGCCCGCTCGATGGCGGCCTCCTGGGCGGCCCGCAGCTTGGCCTCCCGCTCCATCTCTATTTGCCGCTGCTTCTGCCGCTCCTTATCCCGCTCGGCGTCGAGTCGGAGAGACTCCTCGTACTCGGCGTCCTGCTGTGCGCGGAGGAGGCGGTCGTGCTCGTGCTGTGCCTGCCTGCGCCTGATCTCCTCCCGGTGCTGCTCCATGTGCTCCAGACACTGCGTCAGGTTGGCCACCACATTGTCGCGGTTTATCTCGCCCTCCTGAACATTGATATATGGACACAGATGGGGACAAGACAGAGAGAATGGCGGGCCACCTCCCTCCCTCCCTCGTTCCCTGCTGCTCGTTTCCTCCTCACCATAATGGCGATCTGTCTGAGTTCGTCGAGTGAGGCGGGCAGCACGATGCTCATGTGTGGGTATCTCCTGCACCGCAGCAGCCGCGCCACCCGGTCGCCCTCCCGGTGCCGCAGCTCATCGCCCCACACCAAGAAGTGCTCATCCAGCATCGACCGCACAAACTCGTCGCCCAGCACCTCTCGACAAAACGAGGCCGTGGGCGCCGCGTCGTCGCTGTGCAGATACACCACCAGCAGCTTGAGCTGCCGCTTGGCGTCGGCCACGGCTGCCCCGAAGCTGCCCGGGAGGAACCGGGGTCCGTTGCCGTACTTCTTGCGGAACATCTGGGGGAAGGATGTGCTCGGCGGGCCGAAGATGAACAGCGACACGAAACTCAGCACTGACCCGCCCACACTCACGACCGTGTCGAATGCACGGTGCACGAGGGAGAACAGCCAGCTGGACACCGAGCTGCGCGTGGACACGGCGTCGTCATCGTGGCGTGCGCCGGGCGGGGGGGCGCTGACTGACGAAGCGGGCGGTCGGTCGGATGCGGTGAGGAGCGGCTGCAGCAGAGGGCCGGTGGAGGACACCGACGACGCCACTGGTCCGCTGGGGTTGGCGCCGCTGCTGCTGTTGGTGTTGTTGTGGTTGTGGTTGTGGTTGTTGTGGTGGCCTGCCATGAGGGGTGCGGTCTCCTGCCTCTCTATCTCTGCATTGGCGAGATGAAGCGACACGGCCTGCTCCAAATCCTGAGACGAATCACACACGACAAGCACACAGGCTCAACGAGTGGGAGGGGGCATGTTTCGTCTCTCTCTCCCTGACCCAGCTGCAGGAGTCGAGCAGCCGGATGGAGTGCGACCTCTCGGCATGGGTGATATCCTGACAGTGTGTCAGGCAGACACTCTGTGAGGGAGGCATCAGTGAGCCACGTGTGTACCTGAAAGCGAAGGAGGATGTCCTCCTGCTGCTCCGTCGGAGCGTCAGTCATAGCGTTGAAGGCGAGATGCACCGATCACTCGCAGGGAGGGCACTACGTGAAACGCTTCCGGCGAGGCAGGATTTTGGGGATTATCGAATTGGAGAATGGGGAATGATGTGACAGTACCCAGCAGCCGGCAGCCCATCCCGCCGACAAGAGTCAACGAAGCGATAGATTTCATCCATCGCGAGGAGCGAGATGCCTTCCACGAACAGAGGGATGTCGGCTGCCTCCGATGCGCAGCGACATTCCTCAGGCAGATCGACTTCTCGGCTGCCGTCCTCCGCAACCGGCTGGGGCGCTGCCTGGCGGCCAAACAGCTCGACGGCATCATCGCATTCGATTTGCAGCTGGAGACCAAGCTCGTGTTGAAGGCCATCTGGCTGGTGGAGACGCAGCAGTGGACCGAGGTGACCAATGCGCTGAAGTTGGCGGCGCAGAAAGGCTACTGCCAGCTGCCCATCACAGTGGCTGTGGCCGACCTGCAGCGCCACGATAGCAAACAGGTGGGCAGATGAGCGTGGGGCGGGGGGGTGGCACTCATCGGTCTGTCTGTCTGTCTGTCTGTCTGTCTGTCTGTGTAGGCGTATTTGGCGGATGTGCGTGTGATTGGTTTGTGGAAGATGGTCGGCAGACACGACACGTCAACTTCGGCGGCCAGTTGGGCCGTTGTGAGCTGTTCGACCAGCCGGGCGGCGGTGTGCGTGCCCTCAAGGACGAGCCGGGCTTCGAGCTGGACATCAACCCGCCCCTCCACCCCGCCCACGCATACCAAACACACGCCATCAACGACAACCCCCCCGTCAGATCCACAATCGACCGGCAGGGGGGCAGTTGGACGACTGATGAGGAAACCACTGATGCCTCGGCGTCGGCGTTCGTCATGAGGGTCATCCTGGCGGAGTCTCCAGTGGCGAATTGGGGCAAGACGCCATGGGTTGCTGTGGACCGGTACGCAGGAAACACGACACTCAAACAGACGCACAACGATCCATCCATCCATCAGGGCCTCTTCCCTCTGTTATGTGTTGGTCTCGTCAGGCATGCTCACGGCGGTGTGCTGCACGGCCTCCTCAACCAGTCGCCCCACCAGCCCCCCGACCGGTGCACCGCCGTCGTGGCGAGCAGGTGGGACGATAGGGATCCCCCTGCAGAGGCTCGGATTCTGCTGCTGACGCCGTTCGACAGCCCATTCGTCGCATCGATCACTCTCGGCACCTTCGCCAACACGGACACAGGTAGGGTGCGGGTCAGAGATCCTCTGGTGATTGAGCCATCCTTTGACGTGTGCTGTTCAGTGTTTGTTTCTGTCGTCACCACCGAGCCGCCAGTAGGTGATCCATCGGCTGCCTTCAAGGACCGCCGGCCCGCCACCGCCCCTCTGGTGGGCGGCCCGCTGGGCAGCACCATCGCAGATATGGTGGTCAACCGACAGGAGAAAGTCGCTGATGAGGGTGAGTGTGCAGGCGGCCGCCCCCACCTCGGTCTGTCGGTCGGATGAATCGGCGTGTGTGTGTGTGCAGAGGAGGGTGCGGATGAGGATGAGTTTAACGACATCGACGGCGAGGGCGATGGCGACGGCCGCCAGCAGCAGCAGGAGGATGAAGAGGGTGAGATGGGGGCAGGGGAGGAGCCAGATCAGGGCGACACACATGCATTCCTTGTGTGCGTCATGGCTGTGATGTCTGCCTCAATGTGTCAGGTGAGGGTGTGGAGAGGGAGGCCAAGAGAAGGAGGCTGCAGGACAGCTAGATGCCACGGCACCGAGCCAATGGCAGAGACCAATGTAGCTCAAACGGACCGATGTAGCGTGTTGATCTGTCGCTACTTGCTCATGGTCATCTCCTTGCGTAGCCGGCTGATTGATTGATGACGCGGTGTGAATGGACACACATCGATGTGTCAACTATTCGTCGGTTGATCGATGCAAAAGGTCAAACACACACACACCCAGACAGACAGACAGACAGACAGGCACGCCAACGTACAGACATCACGTAGACATGATTGGGTCCATCCAAACCTCACCTCACCTCATCTCATCTCATCTCACCTCATCTCACCACACACATACACTGAGGCCAACCAGACCGGGGTTTCAAAAACGCTTTGGCATGCAATGCAGGCATTAAAGGCCTCCATCCATCCATCCATCAATCAATCAGGGTGCGATAAATAGACACACAGCAGCAAGTATCCTGATGGATGGATGGATGGTCAGATAGACGGGCAGCTGAGCATGCAAGAAGGTGGGGTGGGGTGGGTATGCGATAGATAGATAGATATACCCCCGATACGGCACGAACAATCCCTCACCCAGGCAGGTAAATGCCCGTCCGCTCACACTAATGAATGTAATGTACACACATAGAAACAACGCTCCATCGCCCGCCAGCCTACCCTACACCTACACACACTTCGACGCGCTACCTATGTAGCTATGTGAGCTAGCTAGTACTATGGCGCACGGGGGGCATCGGTCGACAGACACAAATACCGTATCATGCACTTGGCCGTTCCGTCCGTCCGTCCGTCCGTCTGTCCGTCTGTCTGTCTGTCTGTCTGTCGGCTAAGTGACGTTCTCCCAATTGATGTCCTGGGCGGCATGGTCTGCGTGGTGGACACAGAGAGAGAGAGGGAGAGAGAAAGTGTGTGTCTCCTTCCCCTCTGGCTGGGCATTCACTCATGACACCCCCCCACCTGCATCGATGGCTATGCCCTCTGTGATGGCGTACAGCAACTTCTGCCGCAAGATGGCCGCACTCGAGTACGCCGGCAGGTCAACCTGACACACACAGAGGTACACACAGCACACACACATACTCAGCCAGTGTGATGAATGCCCGTGAGGTGCGGGTGTCCGCACCTGGAAGAAGCAGGTATGTGATGACGGCAGCATGGTGTCCTCGCGCCGAGGCGCCACACCACCACCACCACCAGCAGCGGATGAAGACGGTCCGCCCGCGTCACCCACATCGCCCTCGTCCACGTGTGGCACACCAGCAGCCGCAGCGGCACCAGGAGGCCCCGGATGGAACCTGGGCGGCCGTCTGTCGTGGTGGTAGGGCCGCTGTATCTCCATCTCCTGCTCCCACTGCCCAGCAGACCGCAGAGGCAGCCGCGACCTGCCCCATGCGAAGCGGAGGAACAGCTGCCGCTCCCTCTGCGGGAAGCCCTCCATCACCTCCCAGAACCAGCGGATGACCTGGTCGGTCGCCTGTACAATTGTGAAATGAGAAAAGGGTAGACAGACGGGGTGTCGTCTGTGGTGTGTGGTGTCTGGTGTGGTGTGGGTGGGTGGACGGACCGAGTATCCGACGTATCGCGTGTGCGCCTTGAGTGTGTCGATGTCTATGGTCGACGTGCCGCAGACGAGCCGCTCCACCTGGCTGCCGGTGAAGAAGTGCAGGAACCGCACCGGCACCACCAACTGCAGCCCACGGCGAATCGCACGGATCTGACCCCAACACAAACCACACCACACCACACCACACACCACCACATGGACGGTCATGCATGCCACACGACCGACCCGTTGCCTCTTGCTGCCTTTCTGTCTGACTAGTGTACCTGTTGCTGGAACTCATTGAGTCTGTACTGCTTGGTGAGGCTGACGAAGAGGTGCCGCGTGTGCCACTCGACCGGCCGGTGCTCACCGTCGGGCAGCAGCTCCACCACACGCCCGTCAGACGAGGTCGTCGTGAAGGTGTAGGGGATTAGGTCGCGGAACGTCGCCTCCGTCACCCCCTCGCCCTCCAGATTCGCCACCTGCACACGACATAAGACACAACACAGGATGCACCACCACCTCCGGTGCACACACGCATGACACCAACACACCACCCGACTCACTCCACTCACCTTGTCGAGCGTCTGTGCACAGAGTGCATCGATGGCCTCGAGGTCCTTCAAGGTGACTGTCTGGTGCACCAGCGGGTTCCACAGCAGCGAGGGCAGGTCCAGGTTGAGGCAGTGGTGGCCGCGGATGGCCACCCCCATCAGCTTGCCCAGGAAGGTGTACATCGACAGCTGCAGGCTCGACGTGGCCGAGCTGTTGGGCA